TTAGCCTAAGGGCTAGGATATTTTTTCTCATTCAATTGTGTTGATACTATATTTTTTTCTTTATTAATTTTATAGTGAAACATTCTTCATATTAGAATGTGCCCTCTGAATTAACATTATTATTACCATGATGTAAGAGTCCTGTAGGGCATAAGTTTAAGGTCGTGCCATTGTTAGGCAAAAAACACAGCGGACTCTCTGCTGGTTTAACTGTTCCCTAAAGTTTTCCTCCATTGAGATTCTAATTTCTTGATTATGATTTTTGGGGATATAGAGATAGCTTTGATTCTAAGTGGGAGGTTTCTGTACTAGCAGATGCTGATGTGAAGAATAGATAAAAGAAAATCTCTTTATATGCTTCATACCTTCCTTTCTCCCAACCTAAACTTGCATAGCTTCAGTGGAAAAATATTTTCAGCTGCTCTTCATAACAGCCTCTATGAAAGCAAAAAGATTATCTACAAAAAATTATACAAGATTAATTTCCTAAATTTTATGCCCTAAGTCACATGTTTATGGTGCCTAAAAAACAACTTGATAACAAAACATTTGTGTATTATCTCTTTAAAAAGTCTGTTTTCACACTAGTTCAAAAATTATTATTTATTTTATATGTAATACCTAAGACATACTTAATAATTGAGAAGGAAAATATATCCTGTCATGAAGATTAAAAAGTTATAATATTTAGGTAATGTAGATAACAAAGGAATTTACTAAATTTTGCTATAAGTTCAGTTGTGGAATTTTCATAGTGTATACATGATCACTTAATGAATAACAAAAATTTTACTTGCTGTAAGGTTTTAACATGAATTTATTTTAGTGCCCTTTTAATCTTCATGCAATAACTTTTAGGCAGTTTGAAGAGAACACATGAAGAAGAGGATGATTTTGGAAACATGCAAGTGGCAACTGCACAGAATGGCTGACTGAAGAGCAACATTATAGAGTGTGAATTTCTATTTGGGAAGGAGAAAATACAAGAGACAATTATAATGTAAAATGGTAAAAACATAAGTAGTTTTTTTTTTTCAATTACATGTTGCTTCCAGACATACTTCTCTGCAACTTGTTGAGCAACATTTTAAGATGTTGGACTTCTGCAATAGATGGCACTGATGGTTTTACTCCTTTAAAAAAAAAAAAAACATACACACACACACTTTACAAGTTTTATTATAAACCAAGAATTTTGGACTTGCAAAGAGGTATTATTGCAATAATGCACTTTTCATACTTGAAATTTATTTGTATGATATAAAGTTATTACTTTAAACAAAATGCAAGTATGGGGGGATTGTTTATAAAGTTTGGGTAATTTATAACAAAAGAATTTGCTAAGGTTTGCTAAAAATTCATTTTTCTGTTCTATATATTACATTTTTAACATAATTTTACAGTTCAGTTTTATGATGGAGCCTCTTACAGAAACATTAACAAAATGCAGGAACCTGCCACATTTCTTTTTTAGTATAACTTAATAGCTTAATTACCATTTTATTTTTTATACTTCTTGTTCCATTATTAATCTTTAAATCATGACCCTAATCAGCTGTCCTTACTTTAACGTGATCTAATTATTGCTTCCTTTCTTATTACTTTCCTAATTTGTTTATTCTATATTAAAGAAAACTACAGTTTCAATGATAAAAGGAAAATGTTTTGATTTATAGTACCAAGTGCTTAAAAACAAGGATAGTGTCAGATTTTCAAGTGACTTTCCTTTTTGCATTTTTTGGCGGTAAAAGCCAAATGTTGTATTTGTTCTTTTCAGAGTTGTCCAGCCCTTTTTTCCTTTGTCCAAAATGATTCTAAATAGAATCTAATAAACCAATGTAGCACCATTTTTTTCTAAATGAAGCCCCAAAAAAGAAAAGTGCCTTGCATCGTTTTTAAAAAACTTAAATCCTCATGACCTCTAAATTAGTATGTAGAACACTGAAAAGTTCTTAACATTTTTGTGTAATTTCCTTTCTTTTTAAACCATAAATTAGTTTAAACTGAAAGTATGAGACTGGAAGAAACATTAGTAAATCATTTGGAATACAGAATGTTTACTCTTCCCTTTTATGTTGTCTTAATGATTCTGTGAGATTGTTCCGGCTCAGACAAAAGCTTTTCTTTGGGGAAGGTGATTTGTGGGAGACTCTATTGTATTTTAAATTAGCATTTTAATCCATTCTTGACATTCAGTTAGTCCATATCTGCCCCATAATTTGCTTTAGTAAAGTCACTTTATGGATTTTTGGCTATATTTTAGTTTGTGTGTATAAAAGTTCTAAGAAAACACTTTTGCTATTTTAAGTATGTAAGGGAAGAGAGGAGTGTTTTTAACTTTTTATAGTGGATGACTTTAGGGTAGTACAAACAAAACTCCTTTGTATCTAACTTTTCTCAATCCTCTCTTGAGGTGCTTTACTAATGGGAATGATTTCTCTATGTTCCCTTGGTACCAAGAGGTACTATGCAAAGTAACCCATTACACCAAGTTACTTGCTTTGCTTTCCTCTCTATGATGTGATAATACAGTAAAAGCTTTCTTATCCAGCATAGTGGGAGAGGAGAGATTAATTAAAATTGTTAATTAAGAGTTAATTCCTATTGACCCAGGTGATATTCCTCTTCTGATTTCCCTCCCCTTCCCTTCTCTTATCTTACAACTGTGAAAACAGCATATTGTTAATCTCCTTGTCATCCAGTATTCTGCTTTGTGATTAGGTCCTTTGGTGTGCAGTGGTCTAGTGGAGTCAAGATTTGCATTGGGTTTTCTAAAATTCCAGTTGATAAAAGTTCCAGATAACATAGCTTTCCTGTATATAGATCACTACTGGGCAGGTCAGCAAAGATCTCTTACAATGTAATAACAATCTGTGATATTTCATTTAGCAGAAACTCTGCTTAAAAGAATCTTCATAATAATAAGTTTAGGTTTTAAAAACTTGTTTCATAAATATACATATATCCAATCTAGTAACCTGGCCAAAAGAACAGATTTTGTTATTGATAATTTGTAGCTGGTAATTTTCCACTTTTTCTATCCACTGTAATTTTTATGTTGTCACTAAAGTGCCTGCCCAGTACTGTATATTAGTCTCTCACAAACACTGGGAAAAGGGACTCTCATCATCTTGAGTACTCTAGATATATATATATATATAAAATTTTTTTTTTTTTTTTAAATTGAGACGGAATCTCTCATGTCACCCAGGCTGGATTGCAGTGGCGCAATCTTGGCTCACTGCAACCTCCACCTCCCAGGTTCAAGTGATTCTCCTGCCTCAGCCTCCCGAGTAGCTGGGATTACAGTCGCATGCCACCATGCCTGGCTAATTTTTGTAGTTTTAGTAGAGATGGGGTTTCACCATTTTGGCCAGGCTGGTCTCAAATTCCTGACCTCAAGTGATCCACCCACCTTGGGCTCCCAAAGTGCTGGGATCATAAGCTTGAGCCACTGCACCCGGCTGAGTACAATATTAATGTAGACAAACCATGAAGTTTATTTTTTCATATAAGAACATTACAAGTTTGTTTTTTCTTACATCTGTCCACCTAATGTTCAAGTAGTTCTGGTAGCTCGTCCTATTCTTTATTCTATTTGATTCCATTTCTGTGATTCCTTTATTACCATTGATGTTTTGTGATAGTTAACTATGATAAATTTAATCATGATTTATTTTCTAGAGTATTTAAAGTGGGAGTGATCACCCAATTCCAACATTAAAAGTGTAATCTGGGCCCATAATTTATAGTGAAATTGTTATCAAAACATAGGGAAACTGTATTACTGTTCATTTTGAAAATATGAAACTTGAGTATTGAAGTATTCAAACCTGGAATGGCAGTATTCTAATTTCAGTTAATTGGTTCATGTTAATTTCTTACCTATTAGATGTTTAAACAGCAGTGTCCTTTGTTTACTTATATCTACTCTATGGTGGAAATGTTAAACCATGATAGCTTTTGCTACTAGCTCAACCACTTTTAGAACAGTTGTGGGGAGATTTTATGCTTCATCTGAGTTTAGAAGTAATGTCAGAAAATGTTAAGCATGTCCGTATTAAGAAAATATAAGGTTTCTAATTGTCTTATTAATATGGTAATTCAAATGAATTAGAAATATTTAACTGCAATCTTGAATTATAAAGTTGAGATATATGTATCTCTCTCAAGATCTCAACTTGATGTAAAGTAAATGAGCAGTTACCTGGCGGATTTTTTTTTTTTTTAATAACTGATTTAATCCATAATCTCATAAGAAACATAGCTTCACCTCAGTATTTTCTTTCTTTCTTCATTCAACAGTGCTCCAATAAGGGAATGCTAGAAAATAGGTGAGAAGTACTGAAAGACCTTTTTTTTTTTTAATTTTTTTTTTAGAAAAGTTTTCCAGTGTTTTCGAATGCTGGATTATTTTTTTTTTTTTTTTTTGTCTTTCCCATCTGTGGCAGCTAAAACAAAAATCACTCAAAATATTCAGGTTTACATGTTAGCTCTCTCTCATAGGGAGTTGCCATACCTCACAGTTCAAAGTGTATTCTATAGATCAGTAACATTATACTGACATGTAATTGCAGTTTACTATGCAGCAAAAATGATTCAAGAAGAAAAATAACCTACAGTGTCTATATACCTTTGTATACACAATTGCTTAAGTTACTCTGCTTTTAACATTTGTACTTGGATAAAATGCTTATGTCTGTATAGGAATGTCACAGTACAAGATGCTGCTAGCCCAGGCACAAAGTATTAAAATTATTTTGTGAAGATTGGTGGTTGTATTAAAACTGCTGTGCCATTATACCTCCAAAATATTGAAAAGCTCATTCATACTGCTGCTTATGCCTCAAAACTTCTTTACTTAGATTGTTATCTACTGGGTAAAAGTAACCCAAATTTACTCCGAGTTAAGAGTGGATGAACATTGAATGTTGAGAAGCACTTAAGAGTATGCTCTAAAACACTGTGGTTACACACACAAAAAAAATTATGGTCTGTACTCCAGGCAAGCCTCAAATTCCACCTCAAGTTTATTTTTAAGGATTAGTTGAGCAAGTTTGGAGTTGGAAGTGAGAGAATCATGTTTAAAGGAAAGGGTAGGTCATCCATAGAACAGCTTTAAGTCATTACGAAAAGAAAAATACTTCTTGCTTTTATAGTACCATCTTCCTCCATTAGGCCTACCTGCATACTGTGCTTCATCAAATCTAAGATCACCTCACAACTACACCATTATTTTAGGCACCACTAAAAGGCAATGTATGGCTAACAAAACTATGACAAACCATTGATAATATATCCAGATTTCAGATATGTTACAGTACATCTTAGTTGATGAAACAAAAATATACAAAACATGAGACACAGTAAAAATGACAACTACCACTTCATTATACCTTTTCACAAGCAAATAGTGCTCAAAAATGTGAACAGCCAGACACAGTAGCCCACACATGTAATCCCAGATACTCTGGAGACTGAGGCAGAGGATCACTTGAGCCCAGGAGTTCGAGATCAGCTTGGGAAATATAGTGAGACCCCACAGAAAAAATTAAAGCCAGGTGTTACGGCACACACCTGTAGTTCCAGCTACTGGGGAAGTTGATGCAGGAGGGATGGCTTGAACCCAGGAACTGGAGGATGCAGTGAGTTGTGATCACACCTCTGGACTCCAGCCTGGGTGATGGAGTGGGACACTGTCTCTTTAAAAAATGTGGGCCAGGTGCAGTGGCTCAGACCTGTCATCCTAGCACTTTGGGAGGCTGAGGCGGGAGGATCATTTGAGCCTAGGAGTTAGAGACCAGCCTGGGTAACAGAGAGAGACTCCATCTCTACAAAAAAAATTTTTTTAATTAGCTGGGTGTGGTGGCATGCACCTGTAGTCCCAGCTACATGGGAGGCTGAGGTGGAAGGATCACTTGAGCCCAGGAGATTGAGGCGGCAGTGTATGGTGATTGTGCCCCTGCACTCCAGCTTGGGCAACAGAGCGAGACCTTGTCTCAAAAAAAAGAAAAAAAAAGAGGCTATGGTGGGTATACTGCCTGTGGGGTAGTCCTGCTCCACAAGGAGCAGTTAAAAAAAAAAAAAAAAAAAAGTTTAAGAATGTTTTATGTAGCATTTTTTCATATTTACATTTACTCACCATATGGCTTCAAAAATCATAAACATACTTAACTAAAACTACAGATCACCATTGTCCTCAATGACACAATTTTTGTATGGTGTACCTTACCTGTAATTGTATTTCCTATGGGAAGATTTAAGAGGTATCTTAGGAACACTATTTAAAGGGATTTACTGAAGTGCCAACCTTGTGAATGATTTTACCTCAAATTGTTCAGTGGTAAGAAAGGTAGTAAAGCATTTAGTTTTACCTTTAACTAGGCTAATTTTTTGTTTTGTTTTGAGACAGAGTCTCGCTCTGTCGCCAGGCTGGAGCGCAGTGGCGTGATCTCGGCTCACAGCAACCTTCGCCTCCTGGGTTCAAGCGATTCTCTCACCTCAGCCTCCTGGGTAGCTGGGATTACAGGCGTGTGCCACCACGCCCGGCTAATTTTTCTTTTTTTAGTAGAGACAGGGTTTCACCATGTTGGTCAGGCTGGTCTCAAACTCCTGACCTTGTGATCGCCCGCCTCAGCCTCCCAAAGTGCTGGAATTACAGGCGTGAGCCACTGTGCCGGCCTAGGCTAATTTTTAACATGGGTTTTAATTACCCTTTGCTAAGGTTGTAGGACTTCTGAAAAGACAAATAACTTTGTTGCGTTTCACAAAGGACAGATCAGTTCGTCTGTATAGGCCATAAGCAGGTAAGTAGTGCACTCTTGGTGAAGGATTTCTGTTGTTTTGGAAAGCCAACTATAGCTGGCTGCATGGAGGGAAATCCAAAATCCAGATGACGTGGCGTGAGTCAGTGGGGTGAGAAACACTGGTATTTTCTTTGCAAGTTCGTTTTACAAAGAGCACATAAAACTAAACTTTTATGAATTATGACGTAATCTAATAGTTCAATAGCAGACTCAAGAAAAGCACAGATGTGATTCTAACAGAAGACCACTCATATGAACAGGTTTAATGTAACATGGAATGCAAAAGATTAGAACCATTAAAGTATTTAATTCTTCAACTTTAAAAAATTTAAATAAATAAAACAGGATAATGACCAGAATAGTGCCATTATAATCACATTAAAAAGTAAAGCTTCCATCAACATTTTATGAATTTGGCAAATCTAGTACAATACATTTTTAAGTATTGTGTTTCACTCAATTTTGTGATACTCCATTTTTGAAAAAACTTAGGAGAGAGGTTTCAGATACCCACGAAAAAAAAAATCAGGGTAGAAACACATATGCTGAGGTTTACTAATTCACTGTTTAAAAAGGACCTTAGATGTCCCACTATAATTGCTCTTAGGCGTTTTTAACAAATGAGTAGTTATAATTCACAGAAAAGACAAGTGGTACTTTTCAATCTACATAGACTGTACTATATAAACTTTTAGTAAAATATATAAATTGTTTTAATCTTGTCAAATAATTTTCATTTCTTCTACTTCTTTAAAAGGCTGACCAGGTTGTTTGCCTGTATTGAGATCAATGAATGTTGGACTATATACTATGTTATAATAACTGACTTATCCACCCTGACTTAATATGTGGGAAACAATACACCCCTAAGTGTATTGAGATGTTTCTTTGAAACAAAAATATTTAATTTTATGCATGTGATAAGAAACAGCCTTATTCAATGAATACTTTTTTAACTGAGCAACACAGATAGCAGACATATAACTCCTTATTACCCATACTCAAGAAATGAAGCCAAACTTTTAGAAAAATACAATGCAAGAAAAGATTCAAGTTAAAAATATATTCCTTTGGTTAAAAATCATCCCCTTTATAATATTCATCTGTAATCTAAATTCACAGCATGTCCCACCAGCCCAAAGTAATCTTCTAAATGTCATTATACTTGTAGTATTACAATGTTTTTTCAGTCCAGTATTTATGGAGGTCACTCGGCTGCAGCAACAAAATGTTTCAACTCTAGAAAGAGTGTACCATTGTAGCATTAGCCCCTTTGACAATTTTCTTAAAAGATTTTTACTTTAGAAACCTCCGACACATGTAGTTTTCTTCAGATACAGTATATCCAAACTTTTTATAGAAACCAACATTTTGTGGTAGACATTCAAGGGTAATCTTGTAACAGTTCAGTTTCTTGCTTAGCAAAGTAAGGGTTGATAATAACCTGAAATTTAAAAAGGGGGGAGGGTGAGGAGATAGCATTTATTAATAAAAATTGATTCTAGTAACAATATGAATTAATGTTATAAAACTTAAGTTTCCTTAGAAACAGGTTTAGATTATGGCTTTTCCCATTGCATTCATGTAAGTAGATAAGCATTTAAATCACCAAAACATTTTTACTTAGAGTCAAATATACTTTTATCTAGTAATCTCCAGCTCATTAATAAATAGGACAAATACTAAACTCACCCTAAGCCCTCTTTAAAAATGAAATTTAAGGCCAGGTGCAGTGACTCATACCTGTAATCCTAGCACTCTGGGAAGCCGAGGCAGGCGATCACTAGAGCCCAGAGGTTTGACACCAGCCTGGGCAACATGGCAAAACCCCATCTCTACAAAAAATATAAAAATTAGTAGGCATGATGGCACATGCCTAAAGTCCCAGCTACTCCAGAGGCTGAGGGGGGAAGACCACCTAAGCCCAGAGATGTCAAGGCTGTGGTAAGTAGTGATTGCGCCACTGCACTCCAGCCTGGGCAACACAGTGAGTCTTTGTCTCAAAAAAGAAAAAGAAAAAAAAAAAAAAAACGAATTGTAAGATGTATGTTAACACTAAAAGCCTTTTTAAAAAAATGACCAAAATTTTTTTGTAAAAGTTCTTTGTTTAAATCTCTTTAAACAACTTGGGAGCAGTCAACATTCCCACATAAAATGAGTACATAATAGCTTTGCTCTTTAATCATTTTTAAAGCTGCTTTAATATTTGTGAAGGTGTGTATCAGATTAACTCAAGATTGGTCTAATTAATACGAAGTGGAAACAAAGCAAGTCTACATCTATACAAAGTTTCTTAATGAATCCAAACCCATTATTAAAGTGTGGATCTAAGTGCTTTAGAGGATAAAAACTATAAAAGATATATAAACTTGAAGGGTTTGCCCATGTTTGAACAGACTAAAAAGTCTTATTTTTTTAAAAAAACAAAAGATCTTGATTGAAGTATGACTGGCTGGTTGCAGTGGCTCATGCTTGTAATCCCAGCACTTTAGGAGGCCAAGGATCACTTGAATCCAGAAGTTGGAGACTAGCCTAGGCAACATAGCAAAACTCTGTCTCTACAAAAAATTAGCTGGATGCAGTGGTGTGCACCTGTAGTCCCAGCTACTTGGGAGGCTGAGATGAGAGGCTCACTTGAGCCCCAAGAATTCAAGGCTGCAGAGAGCTGTGATCATACCACTGCACTCCAGCCTGGGCAACAGAAAGAGACCCCATCTATTTAAAAAAAAAAAAAAAAAGTATAAAATTAAATGGACTAGAACACAAGAAATTGGTCTGTTTTGTTCACTGAAGTATTCTAAATACCTAGAATAGCATCTGATACATAAACAGGTATTTAATATTTGTTAATTCCTTAAAACTCAGAAGAGTTAATGTTAAAAAGCAAGTTCTTGGGCCAGGCACAGTGGCTCCCACCTGTAATCCCAGCACTTTGGGAGGCCAAGGCAGGAGGACTGTTTGAGACCAGCCTGAGCAATATGATGAGGCCCCACCTCTACAAATTTTTAAAAATTAGCCAGGTGTGGCATATACCTGTAGTCCCAGCTAATTGGGGGACTGACGAGGATTGCTTGAACCCAGGAGGCTGAGGATGCAGTGAGCTGAGATTGAGCCACTGCACCTCAGCCTGGGTGACAGGGCCATCAAAAACAGACCCTGTCTCAAAAACTAAAAATTATAAGATGCAAGTTCGTATAAAAGGGCAATAAATCAATACCACTTATTTATATTTATTTTAAATGATTTAGATAAACATATAGGGGATTATACAGTGAAGGCTGTTTCAGTATTTCTACAACTTATGAGGAGAGATCGTAGAATATTCTGTAATAGTTGAACACTTCCTTTGTTTTTAAATATGACAGAGAAGCTGAGGCAAATCCGATTAGCCCAAAAGTTTATCTCCTACTAGTATGAGAGTATTACTTTGAAAAGTTAATAATTTAAAGATGTTACTGTCTGTAAAGAAGTATGCTTCCAATTTTCAAACTTTAAGGCAAAATATGTATAATAATACTTTATTTCTTCATGAAATTCAGTCTAAACTATTGGAGTGAGTTCAAAATTAATGAAGCCAAAAAGAACTTCAAGCAAGTATCTTGGTAAGAAACTAAATTGGAACAAAATTTATCCAGGGTTACCTTGTTTCTGCCTACTTACAATTTGCCAAGCTGCTTTCCTCTGCATTCATCACTAACAACAACATCTTCTACTCTTCCTCTCTGAAAATATTTACAGTGTTTAAAGGAGTAAGCATTTACTTTTGTTTTTAGCTAAAACGAGTAAGAATTTACTGATAATAAGAAGTATATTTTGTAAACTTGAACTTCACAGAAACCAAATGCAAAAAATATTATACAGTGAAGGCTGTTTCAGTATGTATTTCTACAACTTATGAGAAAGAGATCATAGAATATTCTGTAATAGTTGAACATTTCCTTTGTTTTTAAATACGACAGAGAAGCTGGGGCAAATCTGATTAGCCCAAAAGTTTGTTTCCTACTAGCATGAGAGTACTACTATTAAAAGTTAATAATTTAAAGATGTTTTTACTTATTAGAGGAAATAGTATGAGTCAACTTGTGACCTAAACTTGTTTTGGCTGTGTCCCCAACCTTCCCACCCCGTTGTCTTTACACAAATATTAGGATGTTGATCAACACCACCAAAATGTAACCTTTTCATGAATATATCCATCATTCTACTCCTTGCTTGCTAGAAAGTTTAGATATCCAAATAAAATTAATGTCTAGTACAGAAACCCCACCGAAATTCTTAAGTGTCACAGAACACATCCCAAGTGTTCCCTACCTTATTCTCACTGAATTACTTAAGGTTTTCTCTCTTTTTTTTATTTACTGTTTTACGTGAGTTATTCAGGGATGAAAGGGCACTACATGCATTAGATGTATCATAATTCGAACAATAATATTCTGAACCCTTTATCATGTGGAAACAAATCTGTGCTCATGTAGTATATTCTAAGTATTGTTTTTTTAAGAGTAACATTAGGGATTTTGTGCATTACTGCTAAATTGTTTGGTTTCTCTATGGCTATACCAAATTGATCCACCTTACAGAACAATTTTAGCGTACAATTCATACTGTTAATACATTTTCTTTCTTAAAGCTCTCAGAACACACTGGGAAAAGGGATTTCTAAGAAGCACTAAAAAACAGTGAGAAAACAGATTTGTCTAATGGAAACTCAAAGTCAGTTGTGCTAGAAAATACCTGTCCATTTTACTTAGAAGCAGCACATACCTTAGCACAGGAATGGATGAATTTATGTTCTATAATCAGAGTTGCTGTAGCAACAATCTGTCCTAGAGTCACATCTTCTACAACTGTAACATAATAATCCCCAGATTTCTTCATATGCTCAAAAGATTCTGTGGAAATTGGACAACAAAGTGTTACACAGTAGACATTCAATTTTATGGGGAGCCAGAAAAATACTAGGATTAGCTGACTTAATTACTAAATGTTTAAAGCTGTTTTACCATAGTAATTTACCTTCCATTTCTAAAGAAAATATTACCAAGTAGTTGAAATATCAGCAATTAGTATCAATTGGAATATAACCTACACATTCAAAATATCTGCTAGCAAAATAAAGACTAATATAGCTATTTTAGATGAACAAAACTTAAAATACAAGTAAATGGCTGATATTGCCACTTCCATGACTAATGAAAACTTCAGTTTCTTCATTTACTTTAAATAGATCTCTTTAACTTTTATACTCAATAGATATTCAAATATAACAAACCTGTGCACATTTTAACAAGAGCATGTTTACATGGCTCAATTCTAGAATTTTTAGTCTTTTGGTTTCAAAATATTTTTACAAAATAGATTTTAATTTTCCCGTTGTGATGGAAAGTGTTTTGTGATAACATGACTTGCTCTTGTTTGCTTTGAGAGCACCTTGCAAGGAGGTAAAACATATGTTTCCAAGTAACGTTTCCAAGGCACATAGCAAATAGGTGCAAAGATATTTCCCCTCAAATGGACTGTCAGTACTATTGCTGAAATAACATGGTTTCTCATCTAATTGATGTGCACACAAAGAAAAATTCAGGAATAAAAACTGAGGCTAATAGTCTCTCATATTGTTAATTTCTATGGTCTCATTCCAGACAGAGATCTAAAATGGGAAAAAGAAATAAATTCAATGAATGAAAATAAAAATGAGAATCAGAATGATGGTCCTCATTCTCAGGAGGGTCAAACAGAGTTCAATACAAAATTACCTATTATAAGGAAACAAAGAATTGTAATTCCTCAGCTATTAAATATTACTAAATATTTAGTAATGATAATAATACTTCATTTCCTTTATAACAGGAAAAGCAGTGGTAGAGCACTGGACAGAATTAAGGTTTTATTCCTCACCGTAGCAATAACTACCTGTGATCTTGGGCAAGTCTTTGGATCTCTCTAAATTCCCATTTTCTCATATGTCTAAAAGAAGGGGGACAGGGGGTGGGTGGACTAACTCTTTAAGATACCTGCTAACCTTAAACTTCAATACAAATAAACCCCAAAATAAATTTAAAGCGTATGGTCTTAACTTTGATTCGGTAATGAAATTTATGTAAATATAACCACAGTAAGGGAAATACTACAATAAAAAATGAAAAACCTCTAGAGTTAACACCTAGGTCCTATGGTACAGTAATTATCTAATAAAGTAGTCAGATAGTTTGCAAAACAAAGTTACTGGTACATTTGGATTCTAGAACAACTCAGCCACATTAATTTAATTAAGAAAACAGCTAATTTGTTCTTTGAATAATTTCCAGCTATTTGAACAAAAACAGAAGTGGGCATTAAACAGCTCTAAACAAAAATGAAATCATGTTTCCCTTTATTTCAGGAAAAAGAGATTATAGTACTTACTCATAAATTGTTCAGGGCTGACAACTCCAGTCTCTGTTAGCTGACCCAATACCTTAAAAAAACCTAGTTTTGAAAAACAAATTTCAAATTACGAGACGAGCAAAAGGAAGACAGTATGAAAGTAAGCAATATATTAAGCAGGTGGGCTTATGGGCAATTATTTTTTCAGAACTTTCTATAATCTTTTAATTATTAGAATATAAAGTGAACCCTATTCTTCTATAATTACTACATATAACAAAAATAATAACAGGTTTTACCAGTGCTTCTGCCTGCATAAGATATTTTAAATAGTGCTGACCTTAATATCCAGTGTTTATAGACTCAGAACATACATTCTTCAATGTATTATATTTTACATTAAGTTCAATGTAAAGGGTGCCAAATTTTCCCAAATATGTGATTTGGTTTTACTTAAAGGTACAATATGGCCAAGTACAATATGGCCAAATATAATATTTGCAAATTAAAGTGTAAGTAACACTGTTGAGATTACATACTCTTTAAAATTGTAATTTCTAGTGAATTTCATAGTGTTACCTGAAATTAATGTGAAACTGCACCTGGAATTCTGAAAATCTTAACTTTTCTACACTCAATAATTAATTAGGCCAAAATTAGGCCCTTCAGGCTGTCTAGCAAAGAGATAATTGTGAAAAGTACAAAGTTGACTTTTAATTACCAAAGTTTAAGGAAGTTAACTTGGAGAATTTACATGTTAAAAAAAGAAATAAACGTACAAAAACCCTTTCAACTTATCCAAGGAAAATTATTTCCACCTTCATTCCCCAACCAGCTTAAGATTCCTCCTTATGTGTCATTATACATGATAATTTAATTTTTGTTCATGAGAAATCTTTTTGGCTTAATTAGGAAGGAGTGATGTCATATTTAACTCATTTCAAATATTTCACAGTAATATTTGGTCTTAGCTATGACATACACTCATTGGTATTGTCCATCACTTTAAAAACTAAGTATTACACAAAAAAAGTCCAAAAGTCAAATATTTTTAAAAAATTATCTGCATCATGTTTATATAGAAAAATGGAAAGCTAACTCTAATTTTATACAGGCTTGTGTACATTACCTCTATTTAAGTCAGCGGTACAAAGAGGCCTCAAAACCAAGCCTTCTCCAGGATGTGTTGGGGAAATGGCTGGAGAAAATGTAGCTGTATTCTGACTCCAGTCCACTTCTTTGAGTAGACTTGGGTCAAACATAGGAGTTTCATCAGGTTTCATCTTTCTAGTAAGGTCTAAAATAAAAATGTAAATATTAAGTCATTTTATTTAATAAAAGGAAAATTATGATTGAGAAAGTTAATATAAATTAATGCAATTAGAAGCATTCTTTAGCAGATACACGAGATATTTTACTGCAGCCTATCCTGAATCTAACATTAAATTCCACAACTACAGATAAATAGAAAAATCATGCCTACTATCAGATAAAAAATGGCTAAGTGACTAAATTAGTAAGTTTTAAATTACAAAATCCCATTTATTATCAGGCCTTCTTTTTTTTCTTTTTTGACAGAGTCTTACTCTGTTGCCCAGGCTGGAGTGCAGTGGCGCGATCCCGGCTTACCGCAACCTCCACCTTCTCCGTTCAAGTGATTCTCCTCCTTCAGCCTCCAGAGTATCTGGGATTATAGGCATGTGACACCACACCTGGCTAATTTTTTGTATTTTTAGTAGAGACGGGATTTTGCCATGTTAGCCAGGCTGGTCTGGAACTTCGGACCTCAGGTGATCTGCCCGCCTCGGCCTCCCAAAGTGTTGGGATTACAGGCATGAGCCACCGCCCCCCGCTATTATCAGGTCTTTTAAAACATGTTTTTCCTCTGGGTTTGTGCTACTAATGAATAGCTGACTTTTCATGGGCTCTTAAATTTTTTACATTATGTTCTTGGATTTTATTATTGAGCCAAGAAGTCATCTGCTTCAACAGGAAATTGCAAGGGGAAAAAAATTTTTTTTTTTAAAAGAAGTAATCTCTCAGTCTTACTTGCCAAAAAAGAAAACTTTCAGCAATGCACGGTGGCTCATGCCTATAATCCCAGCACTTTGGGAGGCCGAGGTGGACGGATCACCTGAGGTCGGGAGTTCGAGACCAGTCTGACCAACATGGGGAAACCCTGCCTCTACTAAAAATACAAAAATCAGATGGGTGTGGTGGCGCATACCTGTAAACCTAGCTACTCAGGAGGCTGAGACAGGAGAATCGCTTGAACCTGGGAGGCAGAGGTTGCGGTGAGCTGAGATACTGCCTTTGCACTCCAACCTGGGCAATAAGTGAAATTCCCTCTCAAAGAAAAAGAAAACTTATTGGGCATGTAGTTTGTTTTTTTTTTAAGACAGAGTTTCACTCTCCCAAGTGAAATCCCATGCTGGGATTACAAGCATGAGCCACCGTGCATGGCTGAAAGTTTTCTTTATTGGCAAGTAAGACTCTAAGAGATTACTTTTTTTTTTTTTAATTTTTTTTCTCCTTGCAATTTCCTGTTGAAACAGATGACTTCTTGGCTCAATAATAAAATCCAAGAACATAATATAAAAAATTTAAGAGCTACCATGTGAGCCACCATGCCTGGCCACATGTAGCTTTTCGTTTTGTTTTGTTTTAAATGAACTATGAATAGAAGATAATTGATGAACAGGCTCAAATTAATTTTTTTTGGCATTCTCAGAAATACTTTACCTTGGCTATGATAGATATACACTGAAGGATTTTGTTTTCACAGCCGATTTTCTAAAAATCTGTAGTGTGGGCCAGGCATGGTGGCTCACACCTGTAATCGCAGCACTTTGGGAGGCGGGACAGGAAGATCACCAGAGGTCGAGACCAGCCTGACCAACATGGCAAAACCCTATCTCTACTAAAAATAAAAAATTAGCCAAGTGTGGTGGCAGCCACCTGTAATCCCAGCTACTTGGGAGGCTGAGGCAGGAGAATCGCTTGAACCCGGGAGGTGGAGGTTGCAGTGAGCCCAGATCACATCATTGCATTCCAGCCTGCGCAACAAGAGTGAAACTCCATCTCAAAAAAGTTAAATTAAAATTAAAATGTATAGTGTAAGTTTCTCAGTTGCATCTAAGCACCTTAAAAATAGCCGGTGTGAGGCCGGGCGCAGTGGCTCAAGCCTGTAATCCCAGCACTTTGGGAGGCCGAGACGGGCGGATCACGACGGCTCACGCGAGATCCCGGACATCTGGCTAACGCGCTCGCATTCTCTACAAAAAAAATCCCTTCGCGCGCCGCGCGGTGGCGGGCGCCTGTCCTCCAGGCTCTCTTCGCGCGCGCTCACGCAGGAGAAATGGCGGTGAACCCGGGAGCGCGGGCAGCTTCGCAGTGAGCTAGCTCTGGCTGCCTCAGCTGGGCCCACGCCGGGCGCTCCCGTCCTCCAAAAAACACACAACAAAAAACACGCCGTGTTTTTCATGCTATTGAAAAGTGATAATGATATTTCCCAAAAAAATTTGAACATTTAGAAATGAGCAGGTTCTCACTCGTTGTAATGTTTTAAAAAAAAGACTAAATAGCAGAGAAGTAATGATAGGAAGGAGGAAAAACAAATCATATAAAGCATAAAACTGGGGCCAGGGGGCTTCTGTGCAGCACAGAATTGCTAAAAAAAACAGATGCTTCCCAACAATTAAAAGTTGAGTATTCCTTATCCAAAAAAAAAAAAACCAGAAATGTTTCAGATTTTGGATTTTTTTTTTTTTTTTTTTTTTCAGATTTGGGGATATTTGCATATATATAATGAGATATCTTGGGGATGGGACCCAAGTCAAAACAAAATTCATCTGTGTTTCATATACACCTTATACGGATAGCACAAATATTTTGCACAATATTTTAAATAATTTTGTGCATGGAAAACTTTTTGTACATGAAATCAGATGTGGAATTTTCCACTTGTGGCATCATGTTCGCCCTCAATAAAGTTTCAAATTTTGGAGTGTTGGATTTTTGGATTAGAGATCCAAAAAAAGCAGTCCCCAACTTATTTCTATATCCAGTTAAAGAAACCATATTTTAATGAGAAAACAATTTGCCCAATAACCTAACTCCCAATTGTTCCTTATGCATAAGTCACAGTATGCTTTAGGGCTAATATTCTTCACTTTTCCTTAAACTAATAAGTTTCTGCCTGTGTAATCCTATGTAACTATATAAGCAGTGCTACAATATAGTAGTTATGGGAAGGTAGTGCGATGTGATGTAACAACAGAAGTTAACACTTGCTCAGCACTTCCTATGTGCCAGACTATTGAAAGAGCTTTACTAATTCATTTATTTCAACCATCCTACAGGTTAGGTGGGGTTATTATCTACAGTTTAACAGATGAGAAAATGTTAAGTAACTTGCCCAAGGTCACAAAATTAGTGAAGCCAGGATTTAAACCTAGGCATAGAAAGAGCATGAGCTTTGGATTCAGACCTGGTGTTCAAATGTCAACTGTGTGATACGTACTAAGGTAATTAAGCTCTTAGAATGTAGTTTCCTCATTTGTAAAATGGAGATGAAATTACTGGGAGAATTAAATGCATGACTGTATGCAATCAAGCACTTAGCAATACCTGGAATACAGCAAGTAATAAGATACATGCTAGTTAGCAATAAATTTAAAATTAAAGTTTATACATTTTTTTCACCTTTATTTTAATTCATGAATCAGGCACTGTGCTGGTTACAGGGACTGCAAAAAGAATGACAGGCTGTTATGTTTATGTTATACGGAAAGTTAGCATTCTTGGATAGAAAAGAATAATGCAGTTTATAATGTAGACTGCTGAGAGGTCCCCCCGGCCACACACACACACACACACACACACAAGGATTCAAATTATGCTGTACACACTATACCTGGTTCTAACAATATTAAGGAAAATACAGAAATTGTGATGATCAAGCAGTCATTTCAAATTTAACAAGTTTAATATCCATTCAAAATAGGTTTTTTGTTTTGCTTTATTCTGTTTTGAGACAGGGTTTCACTCTGTTCCCCAGGATGGAGTGCAGTGGTGCAATCATAGCTCACTGCAGCCTCGAACTCCTGGGCTCAAGTGATCCTCCTACCTCAGCTTCCCACAGTAGCTGAGACTACAGGCTTATACCACGCCTGGCTAATTTTTGTATTTTTAGTAGAGCTGGGGCTTTGCCATGTTGGAAAGGCTGGTCTTGAACTCCTGACCTCAAGTGATCCTCCAGCCTCAGCCTCCCAAAGTTCTGGAATTACAAGCATGAACCAGCATGCTCAGCCAAAACAAGTTTTTAATAGATGAATTTGAATCCATGTGTTTCAGTGTTTTGTCTAAATTGGATCCTTGAGGTTTGTGTGTGTACTCTCATCTGAAAGGTAGGTAGCAACATTGTTTTTCAGGTATGTAGATAACAGGCTAAGTATTTATTAATAAAGTGAAATGTGTACAGTATTAAAAATGTAAATTCCTCAAGGCAGCACACTATTTAAACATTTTGGTCACGCTATTAAACATAGTTGTAAATACAAAGTTCAAAGAAAACTCAAAAGAGAATTTACATCAACCTTAACCACATTTAACTGGATTCCTTTTTCCTATAAAGTCTGTGTTTACAATAAAAATGTGGTCTAGAAAACATGAAAAATAGGGTTAATAAGTTTCATGAGAGGGAAGAAGTGTACAGGAAAACAACTAGGATTAGGAAGCCCTTAACTAATGAGTTTTAACCAGGAAATACTAATACGTTCTTGTACTTCAGAGACAGTCTTATTCCACGAATGATCATAAAAATAAATAATATTGGCTAACACTTAATGAAAACTTTCTATATGTTAACTCTTAAAAATACAATGAACAATGTGTCATTATCCCAATTTTACAGATAAGGAAGCAGGCACAGTAACTTGCTCAAGGTTACAGTGCCAATAAGGAACAGAGTGAGGATTCAAAATGAGGCAACAGGGCCAGCTTCAGAAGCCCCTGACCTGTGCCGTTACAGAGAGCACACTGCACTTAGTTTAATACCCTGCTGCCACTGTTTTGAAATTCTTAATTTTTTAACAAAGAACTCTGCATTTTAATTTGGATTACTACAGATTACGTAGCCAGTCCTGCTAGGTAGTATGGCTTCAGACTCTGCTCTTAACCATTACACTGAAGATGCACTACAGTAGATATATTCCCTACCTTATTATTGTACAAGGGTTAAAAATTAAGTCATAAGCAGCACTTAGAACTTACATTTGGAAAATGGGAATCAGACTAGTCAAAATACATTAAACAAAGCATTCCAGATTGAAATAAGAATCTATGAACCAGGCAATCAGAAATTAAGATCAAAAATGTTTTTATGGGCTCTTCTACAAAACAGAGCCATACTGAAGGCCTACTTTAGCTCACTCTCTCCTCAAACGGTAAAATTCTGCTGGTGCCCAACTAATGTACTGGGCAAGGTGAAGCAAGATACGACTTGAAACCCAGTTCCAAAGGGTTTTAGAACATAATTAAATAAGTAACTTTATATAAATAATCTTTTAGCATCTTCAAGTGCCCAGATACTGCAAAACTAGGAAATTTCTGCAAATAAAATTGCACAGTTGCATGAAGCGAAATCTCGTATCATTAGGATCTTTAAAGTTTTTAGATTAACTTTAAAAAGTATAGTAAACACTAACCCTCCTTAAGGATTCCTCAGAACCTTTTCTGATTAACTGCTAAATTAGCGGGTGTTTAGAAGACCCGTTTAAGCCTAACCCTAGCCCAATAATGCCTAGTGAATGAATAACGAATAAGACTTACTTGTAGGTCACATTTCAGAAAATCCAGAAGGACAAAAAAAAAAAAATTCCCAAACTGCCACAATACCGCGGAAAACATACACCAAATTCATTTTTACTAGTCATCAAGTCAATTGAATATTTTTTCACTCAATTGAATATTTTTAAACAAAATTTCAACTATTTGGCTTCTGAGCCTCGGTATCAGATTGGAATACGAATTGGGGAGAGAGGCTGCTGCTAGAAGCAACCAACTGAGAGCAACAAGTAATAGACACCGGAGATAAAGATTTTAAAAGTCGATCTACAAATTTTAAAAACATAATCTAAGGCCAAATCTAAACCACCCTATGTATTTCTCAAGAGCTCCTGGGCCACCTTCTAAGTACAGGTGAATGGGGGAGGGGCGGACTTCGGATTCCTCTATATTGATTTTATAACAATTTCGATAACAAGAATCCATTCTGAATCTCTTTCGTTAATGATTTTTAACACATCTGGCCATGTTTATTAAATTGTGTAACTGCATGAATTTTCAAAAGTATTTTCTGATAGTTTATTTGACCTTTACAATCTAGGTGTTATTCCCAGTCTACAGATGAGGAAGCTGGAGCACCTGGAACTCCCAAGACTTGCCCCTTAGGTAACACAGCATATAAGTGACCTGGGGCTAGAATCCTCTTGTTTTCGCATCTTGACCTTGATTACCATCCTCAGCAGACCCCAATCTTCACATCATCCTACCATACAGCTAGCGCTCTCTCCCCTATTTGGCAAATCCTGCCTAAATTAATTCCTTGAGATCCATTCTAGGATTCGTTCATGAGGGATTATCCTAACAAAACGAATCGTATAATCGTCCGTTCAATTTTGTATGAAAATTTTAAATTAGTTTGGCTTACATAAACATCAGTTCCTACAACAGAAATCACAGTACACCACTCGGTGTTTCTAGAAGTAGGAGCCTAGGAAAAAGAGACAAAGGATGTCCCTCTGTACCGTGGGGAAAGCGCCGACCTAGTCGGTGCGGAGGTGGTCTTCGGAGCAGCTGCCTCAGGGGCTCCCGACCACCGTGGGATGCGCCCGGGAATAGGAGAAGAGAAGGGGCCTGGGAAGTTCGTGCCCATTCAAAACCGATGGCTGCAGAGAACGCGACCAACTGTCTCATTTCCCACGCCAAAGTCTGGGAAGCGAAGTTCCGACCCCAGTCCCAGTGCCAGTCCTGCCAGGCCAAGACCCTCCTATGGCCGGACCGCTGGCCATCATCCTTAACCTCTGCTCCAGGCGCGCGTGCGTTCAACTTCCTGGGACCCGCGCTCCACACCATGTGCACCCAGCTGGCGAGGATTAACGCCCGGCTCCTCCACAACACCCCCGGGGGCCTCGCCGGGGCACCAGTCACACCTGTTAGATAAACCTGAAGGCAGGCCCGCCCCAGCCCCCAGGACACACGGTCCAGCTCTCGAGCCCCGGCCCCGGTCTCTCCTCACCCGTAGAGGCCCCGCGATCGGCGCTCCTTGCCAGGCGCGTCGGACTCTCCCCCACCAGGGTGCACAGCACCGGATCCGGATCCGGCTTCAGCGCCAGCCCCACCTCCTTCTCCACCGCCCGCGCCACAGTCGGGAACCGCGGCCCAGACGTGGCAGCGCCAACGCCTCCACCCCGCCTCTACCCCCTCACGCAGGGCCGCGCGCAGGCGGGCGGAGGCGGAGACGGAGGCGCCGGCCGAGGCGCCACCGGCCCAGGCCCAGCGAGCGAGGGGCGGGGCCCGGAGAGCGGGGGCGGGACCAGGAGGACGAGGGGCGGGGCCTGAGGTTCGCGTCGGCGCCCGGGGCGGTGGCCGCCGGACCAAAGCTGGGCTCTCCGGGCTCCTCCTCCTCCCCTCCACAAGGCCTTTCCCACCGCGTCATTGTCTGGGTTTATCTGCGTACGTCTGCGTAGCAGTCAGCCCAGCAGCGTAAGTGGTGACCAGTGTGGGCCTCTTTGATCCTGAGACTCGACCACTGGCCCTCTCCATTTGTCCCTTGTTGCCCTCCCTTCATGATTCAATCCATTAATTAGGACTTTTCCTACCAACTGGCAGCTCAGAGCCCCGCATCCCCAGGCCTCTGAGTCACAGTTCCTGCCTTCGTGAAACTAGGAGTTGGGGCCACTGCATTCTACTCCTTTGGGACTATTGTTTCATTTCTCAGTCCCTCCAACGCTTTATTGGATGAACATGGAGTTCATGTTCATCCAATAAAAACTGCAACAGTTTTGCCGCCCAGGAGACATTTGGCAATGTATGAATCATTTTCAGCCTCTCATGTGGGAGAGAGGTGCCATTGGAATCTCCAGATGGTAGAGGGCACAGGTGAGTAGAGGCCGGGAATACTGCCAAACGCCTTACAATGCGCAGGACAGCGCCGCACAACAAAGAATTACCTGGCCTGAAATGTCTGGAGTGCTGAGGTTTAGAAACCTTTCGTTAGAAGAAAAGTGACTTTCTTCACAGCCCCATTTCTGAAGTGTCTTACCTAAGTAGCACTTTGTCCCTATTTTAACAGATAAGGAAACAGAGGTTCAGAGATGTTATATAATTTACTAGTCTCGTAGCTAGTAGCTCCCCTTCCTTGCCTTGTACCATAATTTTCGATTTATTGAAATCGCAAAGTATTTTATTCTTAAGCAATAGTATTCAAAGAACCCCATAGATCGTATACCAGAAATTATATTTTTTGCTCATTTATGAGATTTAAATTTCAGTTAACTCCTTTACTGATTTATGCTTTCTCAGAACTTCAAACATCAGTGAGCTGATGGCATCCACGTCTCTGTTTTTATCTCTGTTTTTACACCCATACATACAAAAGAATATATAGGGCATGAACAGAATGTGGTGGTGTGCATCCATAGTCTCAGCTACTCCAGAGGCTGAGGCAGGAGGATCACTTGAGCCCACGAGGTTGAATGCAGCCTGGACAATAGAGCAAGACCCTGTCTCTAAAAAAAAAGAAAAGAAAAGAAAAAGAATACGTAAGGCATAAATAAAAATAAATACTCATGGCTGGGCGTGGTGGCTTACACCTGTAATTCCAACATTTTGGGAGGCCTAGGCAAGTGGATCTTGAGCTTGAGTCCAGGAGTTTGAGACCAGCCTGTGCAACATGGCAAAAACCTGTCTCTACAAAAAAATACTGAAAATTAGGCAGGCATGGTGGCATGTGCCTGTAGTCCCATCTACTCAGGAGGCTGAGGTAGGAGGATAACCTGAGCT